GTTGGTGTCCGTGAAGTGTAGACAGCTGTCACTCACACATTGTCACATTTGTCCTGTTTTTATTGGCATACGAGCCATGTGAGATTAGTGTGGTCCATGTGAGATTAGTGTGGTCCATGTGAGATTAGTGTGGTCCATGTGAGATTAGTGTGCTCCTCAGTTTTTGTCATTCCCTTTTGATGATGTGGAAGGTGGTATGGGGGGTGGTTTGGGGGGTGGGAAAAGTAAATCAATTCACTGCACTACTCTTCACGTGGAAAAACATATATAAGAAGGTCTGTGTTCAGATGAACATGTATGAAGTTTATTTTTTCCTATCTCTTCTGCATTTCCCTTCCTTTTTCTTTTTTTTTTTTGTCTTACAAATGAAATATCTGCTTTTAGTAGAAATTTGAACTCATTCAAAGACAAAGGAACCTTAAAAGATTGGTATGGTATTGATTTGGGTGTGTTGGTGATAATGATGCTTCCCTGAAACTCGCACAAGTCTTATTACCACCTCTCACATTGTTGCTGAAAATTATGAGTATTTTTTCTTTAATTCTCCTTTAACTCATCAACTATTCCCCACCCCATACCTTTGATGTGCAGGTTGACAGAGCATGTGGTGCCCCCCAGTGTCATCCGACAGGTGAGCTGGGCTCGCAACGTGTGGCCCGAGCAGCTCCCGGAGGACTCGAACCTAGCACGCCCAGAGGTCCAGAAGTACTGCCTCATGGGGGTCAAGGACAGCTTCACAGACTTCCACATCGACTTTGGTGGCACATCTGTGTGGTACCACGTTCTGCGGGTTGGTTTCACTTCTCCTATGTAGATGTTTTCTCTTCTCTGCTTGGGGGGGGGGGCTCTCGTGGCCTAGAGGTTAAGGTGTTGGCCTCTCATTCAAAAGGTCCCGGGTTCGAATCCGGGTAGCGACCGAAAAATTTTCTTCTCTAAATTTGTCTCCTTTCACCTCATTTCCTGCTCTCTAGCAATGCTCTGTCGTCTGCTTTCGTCTCCTCTTTCTGCCCCCACCCCCTCACCTCCTTTGCCCCTTCCTCTGGGCTCCTGATTCTTTCTGCAGCCTTTCTACTGCTACTTCTTCACTTCTTCTTACTGCTGTCTTTCAACCACACCCCTGATCTTCTGGTAGGCTTCGGCCGCCACCCAGGCACAATTCGAAATTTCCTACCAACTGAAAATATTAGGTGTGTCCCCGCGCGCTCATATGACCTTGAGCAGTTGCGAGCGCCGTAAAACACTTAACAAAAACAAAAACATTCTCTGCTTGTACACAGGGGGTTGGGGGAAATTTTCCCTCTCCACTATAACGGCCGTGACAAGGATGAGACACACATTTAGAACACCCATTCCCCTCACACTCACTACCAGTACCAGTATATCAGTCAGAACCCCTTTCTTTCCTGGTATATGTTTTTTTCTTCTTGTCTTTGTCTTCCTTTTTTGAGTGTATTTATTCTTAGTCTCGTGGAGGTTGACCAGACAGTTTGAGATGACAGGTAACAATAATAACTGCTTTTATGTGCAGCGCATATCCATACTCTTCAGAGTTTACAGCATGCTCTATGCATGTAACTAGACCTGCATGTTTGCCGACAATCGTCTGAAATCCGACAATCGCGACCCGACCCGCGAACCGGCTGATGCTATCGCTAGGCCCGCCTGTATCAGACAATGTGCGTAGTGCGAGGCTTGGTCGTCGGCACTTTCGTTTTCGTGCCGACTGCCGACGCGCGCACCGCCGACTGCCGACTGCCGACGTCGGCGTTTCCGACATAATTGTCGGAACCTAAGTAGAAATGCGAATACAAAAAAGGACGACAACTTAAATTATCTACTTTCAGTTTTGTGCTCGAGCGGCCATTTTGAATTTCGTTTGTTGACTAATTCAATTGTTCAGATCGTGTGGATTCATTCAAGTCCTACTCTCTTGTTCTAATAGAATCTATATTCTAGGTCTAGATTTAGATTTATATAGATCACAGACCTGCCACTCATCCCGATTTAGTTGGGATATCCCGATTTTTTGCTCCAAATCTCAATCCTCCCGATTTTCCCGATTTCGATCGCGTGTATCCCGATTTTTTGTCCCAGTCGGATTTTTCTTAAAACTTCCTGTGCCTTCTCCTTTATCGCGGGAAGCACCCGTCGAACTTTTTGTCAGTAGGAACTCGGAGCACTATTTCCCGAAATATCGATGCCGCATTTAGTAGTTGACTCTCCCCAAGTTGTGTGTGATCTTTTCCCGCACTCAGAATTCTCCGATGATAGCCTGGTAACTGTTTCTATTTGGGCGTTATTTAATAATCGATTATATTCGTAGTTCCGCTGTTACTTTTCTAAATAAGCATTGTCCGAGGTCTGGTAACTGCGCGTTCACACCAAACACTCGGACGAGCGACTGTCTTTCTAACCCTTACACAACTACATGTAACTGCGCTGACAAGACAAACATATGGACGATGTCGTTGCTTTAGTCTGAACACATGAGGGATAAGAGATTTGTTGGTACATTTGGTCGGTCGGCCGCCGTGGTTATCCTTGAAGTAGAACGACTGTCGCTCATCCGAGTGTTTTGTGTGAACGTGCAGTAACCAGAACCAGTTAGTCGGTCGGACCCGTTAGTATTGTTTCAATCGCACAGTCGCGTCACATGACATATCGCCGTGTGAGTTCTGCGTGTCGGGGACCGTCCGTTGACGGGGTCAACTTAAGTTCAGGTATTTCGGGACTTATTGGTAAAGGTGGGGTGAGGGGGGGTTATAGACACTTGGACTAGGAGTTCTTGACGCGATGCTTCAGGATTTACAAAAAATAATGATTACTCACGCGCACGCACACACACACACGCGCACACACACACACACACACACACACACACACACACACACACACACACACAGACACACGCGCGCAAAAAAAGACACACAGAGGGCATATAGGCCAAGGAATTTATGGACACCCCTGGAAAAATTTTAAGTCAGCTTTGGCAGTCACCTTGGTGATTTGCTGTTGATCCCGATTTTTTTCACCAAATCCCGATTTTTTCTCCATGAGATCCTGATTTTGAGGTTTCATAGAGTGGCAGGTCTGAGATCATTATAGACCTCAATGAAGGATTCATATTCCAATTCTTTTGTGTCAAACCCTATCATAGGTTGTGCTGTAATATTTATATTGGTAAAAATAAGCATTTCATCAGGTGCGTGAATTATATATTTATTTAGATTCTAGTAAAGATCTAGATCTTTCTAGATCTAGATCTAGAATCTAGACTCAGCTGAGTCCCTCTGTTCGGAATCGGATGCGGATTTCTAATTCACTTGTTCTACTAGATCTAGATTTATTTAGATTATTAGATCTATATATGAAGGATTCATATTCCAATTCTATTGTGTTATTGTATCAAACCCTATAGCAATGTAGATGTAAGCCATATATAGATCTAGAATCTAGATCTAGATCTAGATCTATATGCTCCTTATTTGTTTTGGAGTGTGGTTTTTTTATTTTAATTTTTTTTTTTTCATTTAGGACTTGTTTTGGCCTTTTTACATGAGGCCCGTTGCAGGTTCTTTTTGGGGGTGGGGTTAGGGCTAGGGTTAGGGCTAGGGTTAGGGCTAGGGTTAGGGCTAGGGTTAGGGCTAGGGCTAGGGTTAGGGCTAGGGTTAGGGCTAGGGTTAGGGCTAGGGTTAGGGCTAGGGTTAGGGCTAGGGTTAGGGCTAGGGTTAGGGCTAGGGTTAGTGGTATG